ACTGCCTGCTTTTGCACCGGATCTATATCAAGATCTGATAATGGTGTTGAACCTCGATTCTGCAATTGTACCCAACCACCATCCTCCTTTCTGAACTCCTCGTTATGCCGATTTCGAATATGTTTGGTAACGTTGCTTGTGCCATTCTTAATCGGCCAATGGTGCTTCTGCTTCACCTGTTTTTGGTGGCATTCTAAGCATAGCCAATAATGGTTATTGGTCTCGATTTCTTCGATAAGCACACCACGATCCCATATAGGTGAGTTCAACCGATTTACTGCTCTTCCGATTTGCTTAGTAAAACCAGGCAATCTTGTGAACTCCACCTTAGTATAATCAAATCGCTTCGGTACAAAGGTATCGAGGTCACCGGCGTGTGCTTTCAGGCTTATGTCCTCTGATTGAGTTGGTGGTGATGATACATCTGATATAACAATAGATGCGTCTGCAAGTGATGAGGTGGGACTTGATGGTGAGTGTAGTGGTGACTCAACCACCACTACCTCATTTTTAGGTCTTTCAGGATGACGTCTTGAGGCTCGATTGCTTGCCATGGCGGTATACCACTGTTCATGATTGATGGTACTTGGCTTCAGGACGGGCTTATTATGAGCAAGAGCATAGCACAATGATGACATGATGAAATGCGGTGTGATAAGGCAAGTTTGGCATATGTGATGAGAGGTGGCAGATATGCTCACAATTGGCCTAAGCATTAAGCCACCACTATATAATTGGATCATCCGGATGGATTATCCAAATCCACCGCCCAATTTGGATTGTGGCTTATTGGATAAATCCGAATGGATCTATCCAATTAGATCCACCCAATCAGCACACTGTGTCAAATCCCGTTCCATATGGCTTTGGTGCTGGCCTCACCAATGGGCCTATGGTTCAATCTCAGTTCCCTTGCAAATCAGATGAAGTTTCATTCACTGCAACTTCCAATACAACTTGGATGGGTGGTCAGACCCAACCACTCCATCTTCTGTCCGCCGCTACCCACGGAGGAGGGTAAGTCGTTGACCTTATGCTTATGTCTAAAAGACTAAGAGAACCTAGTTCTTGTTTCATTGCTATGACTTATGAGACGCCCGGGTCTTCAGGGTTCTCTGATCTGGCGAACTGGTATAATATCTATACAATCCCAGGTTCCTGCCCTGCTACAACTGCTGGCAATCTCGACACCGCTACGACTACCGATGGCTACCCTTCTGGTGTTCAATGCACCACTTCAGGAGATAGTGGGACTGATTGTGTTCATTCCTACGATATCCCAATGCCAGATGAACTCAAAGACGGCAACGCTGTATTCGCCTGGGTCTGGTTGTCAAAGGTTACGACAGAAACTTACATGAATTGTGCTCCGATTACTATATCAGGTGCTAAAGCAAGTGGCGATTTCACATCGCTCCCCAGCCTCACTGGTTTGAGCTTCACAGGCCTTAGTGGGGGTGGTGTTCCAGGTGGCAGTAGTTCTGGCTCTTCTTCAACGGGAGGTACAACGGCTGGTTCCGGTTCAGCAGCTTCTGGCAGTACTACGACCACCCCAAGCGCAGTTGCTTCTTCCACATCAACTGCTTCTTCCGTTGTGAATTCAGCTGCGGTTGCTTCAGCTTCAGCGTCATCTGGCAGTCAGCCCGCCTCTGGAAGCACTGCAGCTGCTGTTTCAGGCGCGTGTAGTCCTGATGGATCCATCACATGTACATCAACATCTTTCTCTATGTGTTCAAATGGACAGTGGGTATCCATGGGCAGTATTGGTGGCCTAACATGCTCGAATGGTCAGCTTAACAAGCGGTACCAGCTGTTTCGTGCCTAATATCGCTGTGCGAACACGAATTCATTATCTTGGAAGCTCCTTAGCCACTTATTTGTTATTTAAGGGTCGAACATATTATATAAATAAACGTTTTAGAGCCATAACATGCTGTTCTTTCTGTACCCTTTCATCTCATCATTTGCTGCAGATGTAGTGCATTATCTTATGTAAGAGAGCCCTTATACCGTGCATTATAAGCGAGTGGCCCATATAGGCGAGTGGCCCACTGTTACGGATGTAACACGTGAGATCACGTGAGTGATCATTTCGGTCATTTTGAGCAGAATGATTACTCGAGCTAATCAATTATTAAGAATAGGAAGAACTGCTTATTATACTTCTTTCGAGCAGTATGAGCAGTAGGATCACTCAGTCTATAAAGGAGTGTAAAGGTTCTTGGGCTGAACGCCTCGTCTGGGGCTAGGACACTCGATGTCAAGGCCGCCCCTGAGGGTGAAGAAATAGGAAGAGAGGAGAAGACCTTCTATGGATGAGTAGGTATAGATGAATTGAGAGGTTTGTAGTATAAGAGAGATAAAGATATAAGATAAAATAATAAAGATGGTAGAAGGTAGGTTAAGGTAAGATATGTGAAATAAAATAAAGTAAGGCAAAACTTAATAAAGCAAAAATTAGGTAAAGAACTATAGATATCTCAGCTTAGCATTCCGTTGTTATTATCCCCTTTTTCTCTTCTTCTTTATCTTCTTTCCTATATATATACTACTGCTTTATCATATAAGTTAACAGAAACCCTGGCAACGAGTCGCGTGATATTTGAGGGGCATGGTATGATATGAACCATTTTCCCCAGTACACCATTCCTTAATTCTGATAGGCCAATATGCTTATTTTGCTTAATTAATCAAAATAAGCACATCACGTGATTCCTCGCATGTTACTTCGTAACACTTAAAGGTGATCCAGTCCTCAAACCTAATTGATTACTTTTGATGAGTGACTGAGAAAAGAGCCAAAAGAGCTGTACCTTATTGTAGCCCAATTACAATATTTCCACTTTTCCATGATCATTGGTTAGTCTACAAATATGTGGTTCAATAAATACGGTTGCTGTAGACACAGTGTATCAGAATAGAAAATTTTTAGAGGTAAAGCGAAGTGAGAAGGCAGAGACATATGGATCAGGGCTTTGCAGCCAGCAAGTCATATATGTCAAAGCAGCGTAGGATATATTCCATTCTTTTCCATTAAATTAGCCTAACTCCATAGTAATTAGCTTTATCCCTGATCTAAGTATGATATTCACCTATCTCAGTATAATACTTACTCTACTCCCCTTATAATTCTGAGTACTCTCTGCTTCAGGCCTGTATGGCGATTGGTAATATCAGAGACATATGAACATTTAAAACCAACTCGTAGGATGATAAATTAGGTGACTGCTCACTGCACTTAACGAGTGAGCAGCATAAGCACATGGAAATCAAGGTCTATAAAAAAATAATGGATCAACTCCTTACCAGCTTATAGTTAAACTCTCTCATTTGTCTAATTTATTAGTTCGTATTACTTTCTCTACTTAAAGCCGAAATATCTTAGGATATAAATATATTCTTACCTTGTTAATCTTCGTTTTCTTTGAAAAATTCTGGAAATATCGTTGCTCTTCATTAGCCAGAGTAGAGTCCAGAAGGTTGCGCTATATTCTTGTATGATAAATGAAACGAAGTTGACGCTTTCAAAGGAGAATGACGATGTTGAAGGTGATATGAACTGGAAGTATTTTTTTGAAGGCTGAAATTTGTGCTCATAGTCGTTCTAGGCCTCGCAGCAGAAGCAAATGGCATGGTCACTGGATCTACCAGTTAATAATATTTTACCAGGTCGCACAAGTGACACTGGGTACGTTTGTTGGAGTCTGACCGCGACCATCGCTAATCCAGGCAAGGTAGAACGACTAAAATTGAGGCACCGATCGCATTGATATATCGGAAGCTGCTTTACATGGTTCAAAGAAGAGTCGACCAATCTCGGCCAGAGTCGAAGTAGTGAGACTGCCATGTAGAAAGACCACGCTGATAAGATCAAATCGCAAGGAGATCTTCCACTCAAGCGAAAAGCCAGTTGTGTTCAGGAATGATGATATATGACCTAATTTGGTCGTAAATAAGCAATGAATCAATGTAATGTACTCTGAATTCAGAAACCCAATAGTAGGTTTCGTTAAAGTCGGAAACATGGGTTCTAACACCTTTTAGTCGTTCATTCTTTCGAGAAAGTTACTGTAATAGGAAGGATATGTCTTTACGCTACCAAATGCTTTCCAGGAGCCTGATGCTTGGAGAGACACTGTCCACTTAACGGACAAAGAAGTCTTTAAACAGGTACTGCAGATCCTCGCTCACTACGCGGAAGTACATGAGTATTTGCTAGTCTCTCCAGAAGGCAAGGGCAGAAAGACACTCAATGGGCATTTCCCGGGTGCATGTATGTTTCCATGACAACTCGTATTGTGATCAATCATGTTAATGGCTAGAAAGACTACATAACGACGATCGAGGGCTTCATCACATCCACCAACCGAGGCATTCAAGCCGTCGTGAGCCAATGGTTGGGTCAGCATTTCGCTAAGATGTACAACATCACCGTTGACTATCCAGTTCCACTAAAAGCTGGTGAAGACATGGAGAAATGTGAAAGCAATTGTACTGCTGGCAGAACTCTTGGAGCTTGACGACCCAATCTATTGGGGTCAACGTGCTGATTCATGGTGATGTTAAAGGCGCAGTGGTTGGTTGTCCAGAGAATATTGGATAACCAAGACACCGATCATTCGAGATTCCTCCAGGGATGGGAGAAATCCAAGCAGTTATCATCCCCGTCGGTGTCACGGTCAAGACCAGTTCAGCGGACAAGGACAAGCTGTACTCGACAATTGATGAGATTCACAAAAGCTCTTGGATGCAAACGTGCGAGCTAAGAAGGATTCGCGGGATAACTACAATGCCGGCTAGAAGCTTAATGACCACGAGCTGAAGGTTAGTTCCAATCGACAACCACATCCGCTTTTCGGCACAGTAACTTTGTTGTAACAGGGTATACCCCTCCATTTTGAGTTTGGACCCAAGGCAATGGTCCAACGGGCAACATCGTCGCAGTTAAGTCGTGACGATACCTCCAAATCCATCGTGCCGATCTTCGATCTTTCTACCTCTATGCCGTCTATCCTCGAGAAGATGCAAGACGACAGGCTCTCCGGCGTCAAGAAGGAACACGACGAGCACTGCGGAGTCATCGCCGACTGAGTGCACGTTGCCCGAGACCTCAATGATCGGAACGTCCTTTTGCTACCTTCCTGTCTCGACGGCGACTGCTGCAACGCGGTCAAGGACGAGACTGCTGCCAGGGGACATGGTGACAACGCGGACGAAGATGCAAAGGCTCCGAGCATGTGCGCTAAAGCTCTGTGCATTCCATTTGATCAGGATAGTCTTGGTAAGCTGCGGGAGAAGTGTCTGAGGCTGGCATGTGGGAAGAAGCTTAAGCGTTGGTGTAGATTAGCAGATGTTATTAGGCGTTCGTTTTCCCACGGGTGAAAACAGGAGCGGAGTTAGAAATGGGCGCACATGGTTCGAATTGGGAGATGTGCAGTTTATGATAGGCGTTGCTTGCAGGATAGACGCGTCGACGTATATAACAACATCGCGTATGTGGATATCTTTCAGAGATGCTGTGTCAAGTCTCTTTAATAGATTATTTGACGGGAAAATGCAAACATCGAATTAATAATTTAGAGGCCTTCACTGGCCGACAATGTGTTTCCTCTATATCGATACTATTTCTAAGTCCCAGAGCTCACATACGCCCTCACTCACCACAAACCACCTCAGATCGCTTCAACCTCAACTACAAGAAGTATCTCCGGCCAGACAACCGGCATCCGTATGCCTGAACTGCGAAGCATCTGCCCTGTCATAATGCACGGGGTCTGAGAATGAGCCCAGGCCAATTTCGACTGGGCTACAAAAGCAGAATTGTTCATCCCAGGCTGATCTAGAAGCCGAACACGGTAGACAGTCGTCTCATCGAGCCCAGGGAGCGTAATCATCGGTGGGGGATAGTACTCAGTAGTCGTAACCTGTGTGATTGTGTAGATGGCGTGTCTCCTATCCTTTGACACTGCGCCGCGGACGTCCTGGCTCGGAGAATCCCCAGGTAAGTCGGCGAAGACCAATTTGCCAGTGTGAATCACATGTCTCCACCTCTTATGCAGCTCAATCCACCAATGCAAATCATGGAGCTGCTTGCTATCTACCCGAGACACATCCCATTCGATACCCATGTGTCCGAAAAAGGCCGCCCCAGCACGCAAGCAAAGATCATGTGTCCTACCAGTCGTGTGGCTTTTTGGTGCGCCTACGTGTTGCCCCATCATCTCTGGTGGCACGACCAAGGAAGTATACTTCTGAATTGTAAGACGTTCTATCGGATCAGTACAATCACTAACCCAGATCCGATCATTGTGCTGCAGAATTCCCAAGTCAACACGGCCACCTCCAGACGCACAACTCTCGATTTCAAGTCCTGGGTGCCGAGCTTTGAGCGTGTCAATCAAAGCGTACAGAGCTTCGACATTCTTTCGTATAGCAGGAGCTCCATTTAGTCCGCCAGGCTCAATAACATCACGGTTATGATCCCACTTGAGGTACTTGATCATCGGGTAGTCGTTGAGAAGTGCATCGATTTGCCTCAGGATATAGTCAAAAGCATCCTTGTTGGAAAGGTCAAGCACGTACTGGTCTCTTCCTGCTAGCGGTAATCTAGTGCGAGTCGGTCGGAGAATCCATTCGGGATGAGCCCTCGCGAGATCTGAGTCCAGGTTGATCATCTCTAACTCAACCCAAATACCACATTGCATTCCAAGGCCATCAATGTGATCCCACAGTGGCTGAAGGCCTCGAGGAAATACATCTCTGTCGACGCTCCAATCGCCTAGTCCTGCATTGTCAGATCGCCTGCCCTTGAACCATCCGTCGTCGAGAACGAATCTCTCCGCACCTAGGCGTGCAGCAACGTCGGCAATCGCTTTAAGACGATCCATGTCCATATCAAAATACACTGCCTCCCAGGTGTTGATCGTTACGGGGCGCGGGAGACTAGGATGGCTCTGCGGAGCGGACAGCATCCGTCTGCGAAGAAAGTCGTGGTATTTATACGACATTTCTGACAGCCCGTATCCCCATGATCCGAGCGCAGTTGGGGACGCATAGGTCTCTCCAGAGTTGAGTGAAACCTCGCCCGGCAGCAGCAGCTCCCCTGCCTGAATGAATTGTCCATAGTTTGAACCTTTCTCCGCGTTGATCCTGTAATTACCGCTCCATGCGAGATGGACAGCATGTACAAGACCTTTCTCGAACCCGAAACCAGGTTCTCCAGCTGCAACGATAAGCGTGCCACCCAAGCCGGGTCGCCCACGCCGCGACTCCTGTATGTGTTTCCCAATGGTGAAAGCATGTCTTTGGGGATAACGCTCACGAAGATGCCGTCCAGTTGTTTCCAGGAGCTCGCGTGCAGTCATCGGGACCGGAAATGATAATGCAACGTCGTGAATATGGAGCACATCCTGACTCTCTTCGCTGGCGATATTCTTGATGATCAGGCGTTGGCTGAGAAGACCACTCTGCAAGACTTCTGCCACGAATTCTATGGAAATATGTGCATCTACGTCGGCAGCTATTATGGATATGGACGAGGCTGTGCTTCGCGCATCTGAAATTGTGAACTTGGGTGAGAAATATCCGGTCTTGGACCTCAGCATGGTCAAACCTGGCGTGCCCTGCCATCCTTGCGATTCAAGCGGCAGTAAGCTCAGACGCGGTGTTTGGCAAAGTCCTCCAGAGACAGCTTGAGGTTGCGATGCTCTCACTAGGGACTCGATCACTGCATATGTGGTGTCGACCAGCTCTGGCCCCCAATAGACAATGCTCGGAAAACCAGGTCCTTGGAGATCTAATACAACGCTGGTACCGCCATTGGAGATATGAAGTGCCCTGGATATCATGATCATCTCGTCAATTATAGGGTTCATATTGCAAGAGTTGGAAGCGGAGAAATTGATCACTCTTTTATGTTAGCTGGGGATACAACAGCAAGCAGTTTTCCGCCGCTAGCGGAATCGCAAAAAGCTCAGGTCAATTGCGATGACTGATTGGCAAGATGCTTATTCACCAAGTAACAAGATTATTCAAAACACAAGTGCATAGCAAAAATAAATCTTAACTGACTCTGGTGAAATCGACATATTCAATTTGAAGAGACTGAATTCTGCGTTATTCGGCTGCTATCTCCTATTTTGTTGGGAACTCCAGGAAGTGTACTGGAGGTATCGTGTCTTTATCTATTCCAAGGAATTGAGCGATGATGGTGGACTGGCTATACCACTTCTTTGGAGCAGATAACTTGTTACTGTTGTAGGATTGTTGTCAGCTGAGTCCACGGAGAAATTCTTGAAGCATCGGTATTCTGCCTCACAATTGCTATCGGCAGATGCTCGATGAGCATGTGTAACGCGGAGTCCGCTGTGCTTAAGTCCTCAAGCCTGTGCCACTGCCGCCTCATCATGGTACAAGATCAAGCTTGGTGATGTGCTTGACTATATAGATATCGAGAAGCGAACGAGAAGTATACCTTTGAATATGAATGCGTTTACCACACGACGGCAACTTTAGGGGCTAGCACACAAGGCAGATACAAGATAGATGTCCAACTCCGGCTTTGGTGCCAGCTGTGGCTGTGTTGGGGCAAGTCATGAAGATCAGTCCACGCCAATGCCTAGCTATTGCTTTGGATAATCGGAGGTGATGCTACAAAGTCAGGGCACAGTAAAGGGAATACGCTGGCGCAAACTAAGCACACCCCGCACTCACATACTAAAGTTTAACTCGCTGGTGAACACGTTCGCTAGTGTCTGTTGACGCAGATGCAAGAGCTGAATCCGTCTAATTGGCTGCTCGGTCCGACTTCAGTGGCCCAAGTTCTCCGCCTTTCCCTAGCCACCGTTCTCTCCGCTGCCGTAGAACATGTGCACCAAACAACCGACACAAAGGAAATGGTTTGTGCTCTTTTTCTGTAAGAGTTACGTAACCGGTGCAAGAAGGTTCATCGGGATCATTTTTTGCTTCGAACTGCTGGACCGTGATGCGTTTGAAATGTGACTTGAGTTGTTTCAGAGTACAGGAAGCTGTTGAATGTAAAGGCCATCATATCTATGGCACACTGCTCTGCAACAGTTAATCTCTATTTGTCATGATGGATAGCACCTGCCAACATGACTTGTGTGTCGCTACAAGTGCTGTTGTAGGACAGAATGCGTACCAGCTCTGCAGCAACATGCCCGAGAGAGGTCTTGATTATTGTGGACTTTCAGCATCACACCAGCAGTTAATAGGGAAAGACTGTCCGCCTCCTGAAACCTGGCGGTCAATACGAATTAACCCTTTCGGTGATCTCAAGCATCTCGCTTGTTGATGTGATTTGCTTGAAAGATCCTGCTTGGTTTGAACTCCATCTTTGACTCGATGACTCCAACACTGGACATGAATTGCCGCCGTTGGTTATTTTTCGGAGATGGTTTAAGCTAGACTCATCCCCGCATGCAGCTGAGAGAGCCAAATGCCAAATCTCCAGACGACTGATCAACCTCACCATACAGGGTTTTCCGAATTCCGCCGCTTGCCCCAAAGCAGTACAATATATGAAATGCCATCGATAAACTAGAACAAACGTTTAGCTATATAGATAGGATGAATCTCCACAGCATGGACGGCCAGGCGCAACTGCTCTGGCATCCGCAACATCGAACACAATTGCCCTTGAAGACATTTATCACGATCAGATTCTCCATAATCAACCATGGACGAGAAGGGAGATTTTAGAACTGTCAGGCTCGAAGAGCCAAATGGCAATTTCGACCGATCCTGGCGCGAGGAGCAATGGGGAGATCGTAATCTCACTGTTGCAGCCCACGACTTTGCAGAACAGGAGAAAGAGATGAGCATTCGCGAAGCCATCCTTGCGAATAAAAAAGCCATCATCTGGAGCTTGATCATATCATGCTGCGTCATCATGGAAGGCTACGACACCAATCTCATCGGCAACTTCTTTGCCTACCGTAGGTAACTCTTCACTATATAGTTCTGGACTATGCTGACGACGAGCAGCTTCATTTCAGAGAAAGTATGGCGATCCGGTTGAAATCACCAAGCAAACACCCTCTGGCTTCTCCATTCCAGCCAGCTGGCAGTCAGGCCTCCAACAAGGCTCAGGTGTCGGTTCCATCTTCGGTACGATCATAAACGGTTGGCTAATCACCGCCTTTGGTCCACGTCGAGTTCTCCTTTGCACCTTGTGTATTATGACTTGCTTCCTTTTCATCGTCTTCTTTGCACCCTCCAAGCCAGTACTTCTGACAGGACAAATCCTCTTGGGTTTCGAATGGGGCATTGTAAGCCGTCTTTCTTCAATGAGAAGTTGGAAGACAAGCGCTAATAGATGCAGTTCGCTACCACGGCTCCAGCCTATGCCTCCGAAGTACTCCCACTTCAACTGCGTGTTTACTTCACATCTTGGACGAACATGTGTTTCATCATTGGTCAACTGTTGAGCGCTGGTGTACTGCGAGGCCTTGTCACACGCTTGGATCAATGGGGTTATCGGATTCCCTACGCCCTGCAGTGGATTTGGCCGGCATTCCTCATCCCCTTAATCTGGTTTGCACCAGAATCTCCATGGCATCTGGTTCGACACAATAGGCTCGAAGCTGCAGAGAAATCCATTCGCCGACTCCAGACTCCGCACATTCAGCTTGACCCGAAGCGTACTCTGGCACAGATTGTTTATACGAACAACCTTGAAGAACAATTGTCTGTCGGCACGAGCTATTATGACTGCTTTAAAGGGTTCGAACTCCGCCGAACTGAGATCGCTTGCGTGGTCTTTGGTGGCCAGCTTGTCTGTGGCCTTTGCTTCGCTTACGCTTCTACATACTTCTTCCAGCAAGTCGGACTGAACGACAAGGCCGCATATTCTCTCGGTCTCGGAGCAAATGCTATGGCTCTGCTTGCCTGCTTCTGCAACTGGTTTTTTCTTATGCCGTTAGTACCCGCTTCTGAACATATTTTCGCCTATTAGCTAACCAATATTATCCAGCTACTTCGGACGCCGCACAGTCTACCTTTGGGGCATGTGCGCTATGGCAATTGAGTTATGCATCATCGGTATCCTTAACCCATGGACAAATAAGACCTCAGTTGGCTGGGCCCAAGCTATCATGACTCTTGTCTGGACCTTTACGTTCCAGCTCTCCGCTGGTCAGCTCGGTTGGGCCTTGCCAGCAGAAGTTGGATCCACGCGTTTGAGGCAGAAGACAGTTTGCCTTGCGCGAAATGTTTCGAACATCACTGGTGTCATTGGTGGCACTCTCGAGAACTATTTTATGAATCCAACGGCCTGGAATCTCCGAGGATACACTGGCTTTGTCTGGGGTGGATGCGCATGGCTGGTCTTTATCTGGGCCTACTTCAGACTCCCGGAGACGAAGGGCCGAACTTTCCATGAGCTCGACATCTTGTTCGCCCAGCGCGTTCCTGCTCGCAAGTTCGCGACAACCCAAATTGACGAGTTTGATGAACATGAGCAGAATATTCTTGCTGAGCGATATTCAGTCTCGGGAGCGCCACCAGAACGTCCATCAATCATTCCTTCAGTCACAAACATCCTGGCTACTCACGGGCACGCGGAGGATGCTCTTGCTCAGCGTAGAGGCAGTATTACTGGTGAAGGACAAGAAAGCCGTCGCCCCTCGATTGCTCCAGCGGTTTCAGAGTACCTCAAGACACATTAATTTGTTACTCTCGCAGCAAAACTAGGAATCCTGCACTTGAAGTTCAATATCTCCCAATGGTCTGCCATCGTCGTCATGACTCAATGTAAATAGTTTTATAGTTATAAGACGGCCGATGATCGAATTAATCCACGTCATTTTGAGAGCATCTTGCATAAAGACCGTGCTCTTGAATGAAAAGCGCTTAATAATGGCCAAGCGCGCATGCTATATGAAACTATTAGCCTGATGCTCCCAATTGCTGTGACTCCAAGGTAGGACAAGATTTAGTGCTCTGCTGTAGCAAAGCGGGGCCGCGGGGTCGGAGAAGCGCATTCCCCGCAAATTTATCACATGCGGAGTGCTGTCCCCTGCAAAACTACGGTATGTACCCTGCTGCTTGCCTGCAACTTGATCCCTGGCCCCATCTCGCAGGAGCTAGTTCATAGAATTATACGAGTCCATTTTCCTTCGATATCATTCTCCCTTGCTAGACCTCCAAGGCGATTGCATTCGCAGGATGCGGCCTCGTTCTGCTTGCACAGCATGCCGGTATATGTGACATGTCTCGATTAAGGCTCCAAGAATGGACGATTGACGATAAAACTTAGAATACGAAGACGACGATGTGATTTTGTTGCGGACGGTCCTTCATGCACGTGGTGCCAATCTCGCCACTTACATTGCTCGTTCGCTCATCCAGAACCGAATGGTGATGGCACAGCGCTTTCCATGGCACCAAAACCGGTGGCGCCATATGAGCCACCAGGGCCAACCAGTGACACTGAGCAGAGTGTGACAGAGGGCATTCATTTACCCTCGAAGTCAACCTGTATGGAGCTGATTGACTTGTATTTCCAGTACATCCACGACACCTTTCATTCGTTGTTTCACCGCCCAAGCCTGGTCCAGGACTTCCTCGATGACACATTGCCTCCTGTATTGCTGTATGGGATCATCAGTAACTCAGCCCGTTTCTCTAACGACCCATGCTTCGCAAACATGGATCCAAGGATCCGGGGTCGCCCGTTTGGAAAACACGCGCAACGTCTTCTGGATCTACGAGACATCTCGTTAACGACGATACAGGCTTGTGTATTGCTTGGCGCATTTGTTGTTACAGAGGGAGAAAGCGCTGCAGAAGCTGTCTTTTACGGTGCCGCATGCCGTACCGCACTTCTCTTGGACTTGCCCAATATGTCAGCGTCCTCGCAACTAGAAGAAGAGGTGCACCGACGGGTATGGTGGACCCTATGCATGATCGATGTATGGTCATCGAAAGGCGTCGGCATACCATGCGCATTAGAGCCTCGCGAGAATATTCCGTATCCCATGGAAGAGACTAGATTTTTGCGAATGAGACGAAATGGGACACAATCCCCCCTCCTTCAGACCGTATCTCACGATGCCCCATCACTCCTTACACAGATGATAAAACTGAACAACATCCTCTTCGACATATCTTCGCTGAATGATAAAGCCGCGACTGCAACCTCGCCATATTCCGATTACGACACGAG